CTTGGCGAGAGCCTCCTCAATCAGCATCGATCCAGAGTCCGGACAGCTAGAAGCTTCAACGGATCGTCAGTTGGAGAACCACAGTTGAAGTGGCAGCAGAACGCTCCGCCGAGACCACCGTCAAGCATCCAAACATGGCTGTCGAGTGGTATCACACTGACAACTCCATTTGAGTCAGGTTCCAGCTTAGCTCAAGCAGTTCAAGGGCTCAAGATCGAGAACGCTGAATCCAGTGGTATGTCGGACTCTGTGCCAAGCATTGTAGTACTGTCAGGTTCCTCTCAAGGGTACTCAGTCCACACACTCAGTCCACACTTCGTCTGGAATTGGCACGTCCATGAGAGCTCCGCATCCTCAATGATGTCGATCCCGGAGGGAGGAGCAACATACCCTGGACAAGCGGTCGTTATGCATATCCAATCGACTGGAGTGCAGAATGCTGAAGGCGGCGGAGTCGGAACCCGGCGTCGGACGTTCATTCCCGCTCAGCGGCCTGAGCCCCGTCAGGAAGACGTTATCATGGACGAGCCGAGTGACTATGCGGATTCAGAAGCCACCCCTCGCTCGAAATTAGAGCCCAAGCACCAACGACGACATCGGCGTCACGAGAGTCAGGGACACGGGCGCGAGATGAGCACATCTGAGTACACATAGCTCTCCGCCAAACCACAATCCCCAGGCTACATATAGTAGCCTGGGGATTGTGGCGGTAGTCGGACACGTTCCTCAAGGCACAGCCAGAGATCACGTCAATCGGAGCGATCAAGTCACGTTGGAACGGCTCGCCGGTCTGGGACGTCCTCTGCATCCTCAGGTGCCGCTCAAGTCGCCATCAACATGATGCTACAACAGCAGGCAGGAATGGCCGAGTTGCATAATCAACAGGAAGCGTTCCACGAGAGACAACAGCGGTTGCAGCTGGAATCGACAATGCATGTGCAGGCGCAGTGGCAGCAACAGGAAGATCAGCTTCAGAAGCAGCAATTGCGGAACGAACAGCAGATCGAGCGACGCCTAGAACGCCAACAGCATGGTCTCTCGGAGAACATCGAAGTACTAGCCGACCGACTTGCTCAGCTGGAAAACTTGAAGTCTCATACTCCTGAGTACGAATGGGGAGCGAAGCCTAGCTCACAGCTCTCGATGTCTGAACACTTTCAAGCGCAGAGATCTCCAAGTCTCAAGTCAGAGACCCTGATGTCGAAAGTTCACTTTGAAGAATCGCTTGAGCACGAGAAACAGCGCATGCAACGTGCGTTCGACGATAAGCTGGCCCAACAGACCCAGAGTGCTGACGTGGGACAGAAGAACTGGCTGATGAACGCCCAGAATGCTCTGGAGGAACGCGAGCGAATGCTTAATTCACAGTGGTCCAACTTCGAGCAGCAACTAAAGAAGCGTGAAGAAGAATGGAAGCTTGAGAGGGAGGCAATGGCGAACGGCATGCAAAACCAGATGTTATCGGTACTTCAAGCCGCCCTGTCCCAGATTGCCCCTCATCCAGCAACTGGCATACAGTCAGAGTCCTTGAGTCCCCTCGATTCAGCAACTCTGAATCTAGTGCGAGCAGTCGCGGCCAAGTATAGCCAGACGTCCATCGTAGGTGTGTCACCGACTGTGGCATCCGTCCAACAGAGTGTTGCGGTGGACCAAAAGCGAGAGATCAAGCGCGAGACACCTTCAGTCAAGAGCGCCACTCGCCGAGAGTTGTCGAATTCGTCGCAGACTTCGGCAGCCGTGAAGCGAACGGAGTCACAAGTTGCGAGGAAGACTGCCGTGCGGAAGGAAGAGTCTGCATCATCGTCGTCGATAAGGTCACAGCCGAAGAAGACGAAGGAACAGTCTGACCCTCCTCCGGACGACCCAGATGAGTCGGAGCCCAGCGACAGTGACAATGAAGCAAGCCCAGCAGGTGGTTCCGACTCTAGTGACGCTGAAGGCTTTTCAAGCGAGGATGAAGACATCGGGATGACTACGACGACGACTACAGCTGATGGAACAACGATCTGGAACTGCAGACCCTATATTGGTTACACCAACCTGGAGAAATTCGACGAAAAGGCTTCCAGGGACAATCGAGTCAACTGGTGGGAGCGATTCTCCGATATGGCATCCCAAGGATCCTGGTCAGACACAATGAAGATTCGTCAGCTTAGGAGCCGGATACGACAGCAATTAGGGACTGGTTCATGCAGCTATAAGTCTACGCGTGACGATTGGAAACAAATGTCACGCAGATCCAGGAAGCTGTATATCGGTACCACAGGCTCGTACTCGGAATGGTACTTCACGATGAAGATGACCGACCATGAGACCCCATTGTAGTTCTTCTATCGTCTGAATGCGGCTGCAGTCAAGGATGAGGTCAAGTTCAAGTCGAGCTCGAAGTTACGTAAGTCTCATATTCGAAGATTCATCAAGAAGCTCCGAAATGATCAGTTGAAGACAGCTCACGAAGGCCACAGGCTTCAGAGCATCACGGACTTGGAACGAGCATTACGCCGCCACGAAGACGTGTGGCGTGAAGAAGGATATGCCTCTCCAGCTCCCAAGAAGCCCAGAGATTTCCGTGCCGACAACGTCCACCAAGGCCGGACGTAGAATCGTGGACCGCCTAGACGTGAGGGACGCGATTTTATGACCCAAGGTGATGTCGAACCCATGCAGGACCCACAGTTCCAACATGAGTCTCAGAATCCTGAAGTGTTTGCAGATCAAGCAGAGGAGCACTCGAAGTCAATCTCAGAGTTTCGCAACAGTGGGGTTGATGGAGAAGTACTTCGAGTGGCACGGAACCAACACTGGAAATCACCCAACCCACATCTGGGTCAAGGTGTGGCACGACCAGAGAATTCGGACGTATTCTGTGAGAACTGTAAGAAGTGGGGACATCCTGACGTCAACTATTGGACCGGAAGGATATGTAACGATGCCAAGCTAAGGGACACCCGGCCAGAGTCTGGACCAGAATCCCTTGTGCCGAATGTGGAGGTTTTAACGGTGGAATATCGTGTGAACAGTGGAAAGCTTTTCAGTCAGTGATGACATTGGCGAAGCAAGGAAATGTGAATGAATTACCGACTCAATTTCGAAGTCTCCTTCAGCCCAATAATTACGCTTCAGGGGCGCAGCAGTTAAACCAATAAGCCCGCCGGATGGGGATCCGGTACGCGACGGGCCTAAGAACCCCCCTGAAATGTGTGTGTCAGTCTGTATAGGACCAGTACGAAGGACGCAGCTACAAGATAACCAACAATGCATGAATTTAGTTCAAGATGAAATCATCTACCCCGAACAATTGTACTCAGAGTACCAGCGTTCAGATGACCCAATTGCGGATATCTCTGAGTCTGAATCTCAGGACCCCTTGGAAGTACCGTTGAAACCGGGTCAGAGGTACGGATGGTGGGAAAATCATGAACATGGGGACATGCATGGATTGGCGACGATACATGGAGCTGTGAACGACTCCAGAACCAGAATCTTATCGGACACTGGTGTGTCCGTGAGCATTATGAGTCTTGATCTAGCGCGTAGACTCAAACCCAAGCTCCGGACACACCGTCGTTCTGGTTTAAGAGGAGTGACCACTTACAATAGTACTCATGCCCAAGTGAAGATAACTTTCGGATGGAGTGTGGTTTACGTCCTGAATACCTGGGTTGGAAATACTGGAGAAGGTGTTGATGTTTTGCTAGGCATGAACGTTATGCATTCGGCAGGTGTCCGACTCTGCATACGAGAAGGCTTGGTCAAGCTGCCAGATGAAGAAATAGCCCCAAGACCTGTGGTATGGATCTCCCTGTGTGCCCAGAGGAAAGCATACACATGCGTCCGGGTCAGGATGCTATCGTACCAATTGGGTATGGCCTGTCTAATCCCCAGTGTGAGTTGGTGTGGGAAGAGAGAGGTAAAACCTGGGTGACCAAGGATCTGTATTCTTCCAGATCCTTGGCGACTACCGTCAAGGTTGTTAATGTTTCAGACCAGAATGTGTGGATCGACATCAGGACCTCTGTATTGTAGAATACAGACAATTCCCTGGACAAGAAGGATTCGTTCGTCGTGGGAAGCGCGGTATGAGGAATGGCAACAATTAATCCATGAGTGTACCGTGTCACGCCAGGCAAGGATGCGTGCTGAACGATTGGAGAAGATTCTCAGGGAGAGGGGACCTCCATGCACTCAGACTCAGATATATCAGTGGCCTACCAAGCGCTTAATGCGTCCGCAGTCCCAAGGCGTTGAGGTGAAGATGGTGAAGTTGCAAGAAAAGCCGAAACCGTTGGATATGACACTCAAGATCGTCGGAAATTCAGCGGTCGTCATGAACACGGCCGTGAGAGACCCCAAGGAACTTAAAACTCGTCCTGAGCCGGTAGAACGGACCCATTCTGAGTCGAGTCCAGAAATGAAAAACCTGAATCCAGAGTGTATTGTTGATGGCGCGGATAATGCTCACGTTTCTGAACCGTCAGTGGCTACACAGTCACAGATGAACTGCTCAACACCGGTTCAAAAGCTGGAAGCAGAATATGCTCGGGTAATGCGAGTCTCTGCCGAAGAGCTAGACCTGGAACCTGCCGTATCTCTCAGGGAAGGAAGTGATCTGATGGCGCAGTTACGAGACCAACTCATGATGCTCCCGGAAATCGAGGGACTGACCCCAGAGTGTAACATCAACGAAGCTAATGTCGGAGTCCCAGGGGTCACAACTCCGGAGATGGAAGTCAAGATGAGAAGGATCCTGAAACGTCATCGCAGCATCTTCCTGGGAGATGGCAACGCAGCTCAGGCTCCGGAAAGGGGTGTAGTGTGTGATGTCGACGTTGGTGAAGCAAAACCAGTGGCTTTACGTGGGAGACAGATTGCCGTACTTTTCTTGGTGAAGGTGTTTGAACTCCTGAGAAGTTGTTGGAGGCAGTGCTCATTGAGCATTCAGAGTCCGAGTGGTCATCACGCATTGTGATTGTGCTGAAGAAAAAGGCATAGACATCCGAATGTGTATTGACTACCGACTGCTGAATCTGCTTATAAAGCTATCTCGCTACCCTCTACCCTTGATCGATGACCTGCTGGTAGACTTCAAATCCGCAATGTGGTTTATGAGCCTCGACATGGCGAGCGGATTCTGGACGGTGCGTATGACCGAACGTGTGAAGTCGATTTCCGCATTCGTCTGCCCCTTCGGCCACTTTCAATGGCTCAGAATGCATATTGGGTTGAAGAATGCACCGTTAATTTATCAGAGTATCATCAATAACTGTATGTGGGGATTCGTCCGTCTACCTCCTGAAGAGGAAGCGATGGTTGACCCAGAAGTTCTAGAGTTCCTGGATCTCGAGCCTCAAGAAGCCCTGAAACCTGAAGTGGATTTGCGGAATTCAGAGATTCTGTCATTGTTCATGACTGTATTCCGACGTAATATCCCGGTTCCGTCCCAAATGGGTCCGGTCTTGGGAAGAAGCTCATATATTGACGATATCGCTCATGGGGCGTCGGCCTGGGACCATCTATGTGAGGACCTGGACGCGTTGTTGTACAGACTACGATACTGGAATATCTCTGTGAGTTTACAGAAAAGTGAATTCGGGAAGTTGACCATCCCATCCCATTCTTTTCTCATGAAGTGAGTGCGGATGGAATCAGGGCCTTGCCGAAGATTGCCAAAGGCATAGAGGATTTACCTTTCCCGTCAACATACAAGGGAGTGCAGTCCTTCTTAGGAAGTCTGAACTACTACGGTAAGGTTATTGAAGACTTACCAGTAGTTGCCGCTGTGCTCTACGAACTGGATGAGGAATGTGTACGCGCTGGACGGAACCTGGAAGCTGCAAAGGAATCCTTCGAGATACTGAAACGTAAGATCGTGTCGACCCCGCTGTTGCGACATCAAGACAGAACCAAGTCTTTCGTGATTATTCCGCACGCTAACCCGTGGGCGGCGTGTGCTGTTTTGGGTCAGGAGCATGAAGGGCTCATACATCCAGTACGATTTACTAGCAGAGTGTTGAAGGAATCAGAGCTACGTTACCACATAGCTGAGAAGGAAGTTCTCGCAATCTTGTGGACTCTGGAGGTTTTCAGACCTCTGATCCGTGGATCAGAATTCCCAGTTGTGGTGTATACGAGCTACTCTGTGCTAAAGTGGTTACTAGAGTCCAACACTGCGGATGGACGCCATCTAAGGTGGGCTGGCACTATCAAGATGGACCCTGGAAATCCATCGGACTCAGAAAGATGAGGACGGCCTTGCGGCCATCCTTGGGTCTGGTATTACTCCCAGGGAACATTTAGATGAAGTTGCAGAAACCCTGATTCCCACCAAGGTGCGTCTGAAAGTGATGCCACCAGATGTTGGAAGCAGACTACCAAGGCTACGTTCTGAGTTTTGATGGCACCGCGAAGGTTTCCACTCGCCGAGGAAGTTGTGGATGCATACTGTGGAAGCTGCCAGGATGGCAGGTTGTGAAAGCTGAGGGGTATATCCTTGAAGGTGTGACAGTCAATGATGCTGAATACCATGGTCTGATTCTGGGACTGAAGCTCGCTATGAAGTATTAGGTCAAGGAGCTTGTGGCAGTCGGTGATTCTTGAATCGTCGTCCAACAGGCTCACGGTCTGATCAATTGCAACCAGCCTAACTTGCAACGACGCCTAGCTGAGTATGAGGATCTCAAGAAGAATTATGTGACTGTGTAGTTGATTCATGTTAAACGCGAATTTAACCAAGCGGCCGACTACTTGACTTTTAAGACTTTCGTGCTTGGAGAATCCTGGGGGCTCGATGACCCCGATGAGGTAGTACATCTACGTCTCGTATCCAGAATCCCTGAAAAGATCATGAAGCCTTCAGTAATTCCAGGTACCCCTGCGACCAATGCGGCCCACTCGGACCAAGTCGAACTTGGGACGCGTTACCCTACAGCTGAAATACTTGGGTCCTTAGCCACCGCAGCTGAGGCATTGATGGTGATGACGAGATCACATGCGGAGACGGACACAGGTTCCCGGACTCCTATAGACCAGTCTGACTACCTGGATGAACGTTAGAGGAGAATCAAGGCTCACCAAGACGAAGACCTTTGGATTCAGCACATGAAGAAGGTCCTAAAAGGAGACGTGTCAGATCTTCCATGAAACCAGGTCAAGAAGATTGCGAAGGTTTCTGATCTGTTTGTGTTGAACCCTAAACCCTAGTCTTTACAGGCTGAGCACACCCACTCCTGAGAGGCCCCGCAACAAACAGTCGGAACTCAGACTGGTGGTCCCAGAGACTTTACGTGCCGACATGTTACACTACTCGCACGAAGGCTTTCAAGGTGGTCACCAAGGAATCAACAGGACGTTTGAGCGATTACGTTCAGAGTTCTACTGGTTCGGGATGTACGCCGATGTACAGAAATTTGTGGGAGAGTGTGTGGATTGTGCGGCAGCCAAGGGGACCACCAGTCCTTGGCCCGTCACCTGGCAATATCGAACAAAGGTACCCGTTTGAGGGGGTCTGTATGGATTTCGCCACTGACTACCTGAGACCGATCGTGGAAATACCTACTTGTTGCTGTTCCAAGATCAATTCTCAGGATACGTCATGTGCAAACCCATGCGGAATACCGAAGCCCAAGATGTTGTAGAAGCGTAGGAGAGGTGCGTATTCCGAAGATTTGGAGCAAGTTATATGATCAGACATGACCAGGATCCTCGTTTCATGAGCACGTGTTCGCTAGATTCAGAGACCTTATGTTTTTGGTGCCTTTCGTAATCTGAATCGTCTTCTGAATAACCTGACTTCCGACTTCGGCCGTGTCTTTGCTCCGCTTTTGGAGGTCGACTTGGATTTGGTAATGGTTCCAGATCCGGCATCTCCACATCATGTTGGCCAACTTCCAAAGGTACTCGTCGGCGACCTTCCGGAGAGATGTATGTCTGAACGTATCCTTCAATTGGAACGGCTCCGCCGGTTCCTTGAGCGGTTATCACTCGCGGCATCACACCTGCAACAGCATATGTGTTTCAGTTTCAATTCCAAAGGGCGGTAACGAAAATATGGAAAGCAAAGTTACATGATAAACTTCGATTTCTACTTGAATCGTCTCTCGAACCGACTTCAAAAGCACTTTTCGTCTTATTTAGACATCAAAAGGGCTGCCACTGCCAACCAACAACGGGAAATCGCCCTGTCGACCCGGGCTGGCTTACAATAGATAGGTTGTAAGTCTGTTTGGGTTTAGTTAGGCAAGAAGCAAGCAATACACCAGGTAGGAAATATTAGGAAGTGCCTGCTCCCCCAATGAGTGTTCAGTTTTAAATTCACTATAGAGGTGTGGAACTGCTCGACCCCTCACTTTGCTGCTTTCTTACGGCAAAAGTGATACTTTCTATATATAACGGATCGTACTAACATGTTCGCTGAATTCTATTAGTCGGGGCACTTCACTGTTTTGGACTATCTATCTCGCGATCGAAAGAGTCTGTACTGTCAAAATCGATGAAAGGCACAATAACTCCAAATCCATTTCAAAGTTTGAACCACTTGATTTTGATTCACAGTTTCATTAAGTGTACGTATACAGTCTGGTAGTGTTCATTGCTAGATGTACTTCTAATGTTTTTTCTGGTTGAATTATGAAAGATATCTAGTTCGCAGAAGCTAAAATAACATTTCTATTAGTAGAATTACTCGGTATCACTGAAATTTAATCTTGCTATCCAAGGATCAGTGATATTGGTTTATCGGAATGGGGTGTATCATGTGATACTGATACAGGCTTTTGGACGATGCAGTATCAAGATACCATGCCGATATCTTCGCTGGTATTAACCTCTAACTACATGGTATGTAAATACCTCTCGAGCAGTATCTTGTTTCTTTCACTTCGTGAATTTGAAACAGGTAGCTTTGGGCATGCTGATTAGACTTTCTTTGGAGAACTAATCAAAAACACTCACCGTTCACCGACTTAAGAGATTTGATGGCGATTCCAACAATAGGGCAGCAACAGCTCATCGTTCATATTACATACATGTACAAGGACGACTCAGTAACGAATATCATATCGAAGTCTAATACTATAATACGTACTATTATCTAGGGATTATCCACACTACTTCTGCTTTGGTGTACACGGGTGATACTCTTGACTAAAGTGTCCTCAGTCACAGCTATGCTGGTGATACTCTTCAGTCGATCTGGTAAGGATTATGTGGATGATCAGCTCATCTGTAGTATTAACTTTGATGTGCCTGCGTTATCCCTCGAGTACCAATTCACGTTTCCAAGGCGATGAGATAAGTCACACTGTACATGTTGCTACCCATATTATATCATATATAACTTATTTGACAACCGAGCATTATGGCTCCATGATAGTGTATGTACGTGTAAATACAGTATATGAGGAATTGGCCTTGATCCTAAGTTGTATTGATTGATTCTGCACTGTTTAAAGTGCTCCAATCACAATTCTTAGAGGCTGTTCGGGGAAATAATCACTGGTTTTTTAGCATAAAACCATGTCGATTCGCCAGTTAATACATCAAGTAGTAGGGATCATTTTCTTGTAGATGATACTAATATAATAATTTTCAAAAAGTATCTAATTCTAATACCAAAATATTACCTGATACTTCAATTACTGTCATCCCCTGTATACGGGTTCTTCCGTATAAAGTACCCCCTCGAAATACAATACTCTCCCTAATAGAATACGCAACTCACAAGAAAATCAAGGATTATAATACCTCTAAATACAATACTTGTAGCATATGTTTGAACCACTCTCTGAAGCGTGGCTCCAAAATACAGCTGCAATACCCCCAAATAGTATACCTTCCTACTACGATTTAGCGTGCGAGGTATACAGTTTCTATAATACCGGTACTTAATATTGGGATAGCTATAAATACGTTAGGGTTTGCTGTGGCCAGCCCTCATTGGGTTAGCGACTCCATTACCTAAAGCCGGAGTTAGTACGTGATGGCGTAACTATCGTAACCTGAGTTGTGACCAGTCTAACCTAGCAGGAAAACCTCGTTACATACCGTATTCATTTGCTCAAGGTGTGCCGTTTTCGTGATTGATTACTTGACCGTAGCATAATGTTAACCTTTATTGTATTACGCTACGGTTAAGTAATCACATTATTTTAATAACCTTAAAAGATTATACAGTAAACAACTAACCAGATTAGGTTTGCTGTAACCCCGAATGAAACATCCCCTAAAGGGAGGGGTAAGGGACCAGAACGAGAAGCCCGACCAGAGGTGTATAGAAATTTTAAGATGGATCAGCTTTATAGCACCCCCGATAAGTTGTTCCTGCGGTATGGTCACTCAACACGACACGTTAATTTGAGCAAGGTTGAGCATACTTCACTTTGCAATCGACCGGCAACAGAATACATTGTGTTTTCTCTAAGGCAGAATGCGTGGAAGCAAATTCCTTGTGCTCCTCACTCTTTCAGTTGTTATTACGGACTCCATACTCGCTGATAGAGTTAACTACACTGCTATTTCAGATTTCAACAACGTCGGTCCCAAATTCAAGCACACTGAAGGAGGTATAACCGAAGAAAGGACATTTCCAAGTCTCAATCGAATCCATAACTACTTCAAGAAGGTTACGAACGTTGGGACGTCGACTAAAAGTCAACATGAAATCGCCGTAAAACTGGCCAGCCCAAAAGTCGGTCAAGTCTTCATGGAACTCAGAAATCAACCACGATTTCGCCGGTGGTTTATGAATAATTCTGTCCTGAAAAGGTTAAGGATTGCGTTTAATGGGGGACCCACCCAGTTCACATCAACACAAGTCAAAAATGTCGGACGCATCGCTGTTACGTCGAATTCGCCAAGCATCATCCAGCGTTTGCTCATTACATACGGGACCGCTCTTCTAATTGCACTCGGTATACTCTTTATCCTCTATGGTGTGTATAAAGTATTATTTTGGTATTAATCAAAGTACATTCTCTTACGATTTTGTCATGATGGGAATCGTCAAGTCTTGTAACGATGGCAAATGCAACCTTCAGTGTGTAACTACATGTAGGACTAGAGCATAGTTATTGCGCTATTTTCAATTTTAAGAACCGAACATCACTTGCAATTGCTGTTCTCTGAAATTTATTTCAGAGCTAAGGAGCGATCGGAGCGGAGGTCCCATTTTCCCTGTTAAAGCAGATCGATCATAAATAAAAGGGGTACTATTATGTTAGATCAACACAACAGTATTTACTGAAAGCTAATACTCGACCATCTTGATAAATTGCCGTGATGTCGCCTGTGTCGTCCACCTCAGATAAGTGCGAAATCTATTAGCCAATTGAAAGTGGTGAATGTCGCTAGAACGATAAGTGTGAAATCTATCACCCATTTAGAAGATGTGAAGGTTCGGCGGAGGTGGTGCTCTCTTACCAAGTATGCGGCGCAAGATTAATGTGGGTATTTGGAGACAAGCAAAATCGATACATTTTAGTGAGATAGTTCAATTGAGTCGTGCGCACCTCGCGGCATCATTCCTGTCCGACGCAGGAAACACGCTGGTGTCAAGGTTGATATTCGCAATCGCTCCTTCACGCTTACAGTAGATAAAATTCCTCTCGTGCCTGCATTTGGTTTGACATCGGAGGAGTGCCAGAGTCTAACTGTGAACAAGCTCATAATCGCCCGTCTCAGACACTACACTAGACCCGTACCTCACCGCTCCTCCTTATACGTCGCAGTCACTCAAGTGAAATCTATGCAGCACCTTTATCTTATGGAGCCTCTTTCACTTGATTATTTACAGCATTTCACTCCCTCGCAATCGGCGCTCGACGAAACCTCACGTTTATACGCTTTGGGGGTTTCCTACAACCAGTTAGCAGTAACATAGCTTCATTATCTTCCTGATTACAAGTTGAAATACCCCCTTCTAAATTTCAGAGCTTCTTCGTGCGCAGCGCGACTTTATAGTCAGAAGTAGTTATTCCAACAGAATTTTTTCTAAATGTTGGCAATTTGTGGAACAATACGTGCGACCACTTTCTGATTGGTGGAAATTCACAGGAAGTTTATATTGATTTTTGTATATGACGTGGGTAACACACTCTGCTTGTTTGACGACAAGAGTGTCAATGAGTTTGCAGTGTAGATAGGTTGATATGGCAAATTTAGGCTCTTCATGCTAAAATTTTTGTGGTGTAGTGTCACAATTCGAATTGCCGCAGGTGTACTAACAGCAAAGTGATTGATATGAAGTATTGAGTGATTTTTCATTCGGTGAGTTGTGTACGCAGTACGAAACGCTCGGTGGAACATCAATGCTGAGTTTGACGCTATTATATTGGTAAGTCGACGTAGCATCTCTCACGTTTTCTAGTGAAATAGGATTCTGCTAAGTTGTTGTCTTTATTGATAACAACGCCGATCAGGTTAACTGATCAGTAAGTTGTTCTGGCTCCTTGCGCTGGCATTAAAGTTCAGAGTAGTAAACTTTCTGATCTTGTGTCTTCGCTCGGCGTCGTCTAGCTGTTGTCTCCCAGTAAGTTGACTAGTCTCACTCACTCTATAAGTTGTATTATTGATCAAGAAGATAGTTTGACATGATAACATTATATTAATGGTAACCTTTTCGCTTCGAGCACATGATACG